ATGTTTAAAATCTCGTTATTTAGGTAAATGCTTTTAATATATATTTTATTTTGAAGGTTGTGTAAGCACGTAGAATAAAATCATCACTTATTGTCAATCGACTGAAGCCAGCCAAAATCGTTAAGTCTTAATTAGCATTTCAAGGAAGATCTGAACCTCTTCATAATGGAAATATCAAAATAATTGCACAAAAATGTGGCGGAAGGCAATTACTTTTAATGTACAAAAAATGGTACGTTTACAATTGTAACTGACAATTCTATTTAAATTTATAAGTCACGTGAGCTTAAGAAATATATTATTCCTGTGATCCCCCAATGGGGCATATCAAGCGAAAACGTGGTTGCCTTAGTCCAACGTAACGCAAGCAATGCATAAACGACAGAAACAATGAGCAGTTCCCGTGAAAACATGTTAGAATACATACCCGAAATTCGGGTTGTTCGGTAACAGTCATACATTACATTGCACATAATATGGAAGCATTTGTATTCGAAAACTTTACAAAAGGATTATTTTCCTGCGTAATTTTACTTGTGCTGCTTTATTTACTCGGCGGTTTGCACGAACAGGCTTCCTTTACACATAAAACATAAGTTTACCTAATACGCCCGATTCACATTTTTTTGGAATTTTGCACTTTGCTAAAAAAAGCTGGTATTTCTATAAAACTTTATATTTCTTCATAAATCACAATATGCCCTTTTATGGAGAAAGACCATTACTTTATTGCCGTAAGACTTTGGGGGCCGCAGTTTGGGCTGCGTTTGAGTAAGAGGGAGTTACTTGTAAAAATCGTTCGATTTCATGAGATAGTGAATCTACTGTACATACAAATGTTTCGGGTAGGTGAAAATAACAGTCGAATTGCAGGCTACCGTTAGCTAACCAGGTTTGAAAGAAACTAGGCGTTGAATAAAATTACACGCCTGGTTGCTCATGTAGAAACATCAGTCGGAGTAAGGACGTTCGAATTGCTATTTACGGAACAAAATGCTAAGTGCAATTGTAGCACTCGGCATTACAGTCGGTGTCTTTAAGGCCTAAGGAATCAAAGATGGGAGGAAGCGGTTACGCAGTTGCCTCTTCCTTGGATATTTAGCGTCTCCTTACAGTCATTCCCTTTACCGCCATGGTGATATCTCGGAATTTGAGCCTGGATCAATAAAATTCGAAGCCATTGCATCTCCGGATACCCGACCCTGGCAGAATGCGCTAACAAGACCTCGCTGAATTTGATTGTCAGCAGACGTATTGATGGTAAAATCCAAGCGGAGCGTTCGTGCCCAATACTCGGTATAGGTCGGACTTTTATAAGTCCAGTGCAGTAGGACCTATTCTCACAAGCCTTTTAAAGCCTTTGCACGAAAATATAACAGGTACCTTTTTGATTTAGATGAACGCTATTTGGCTGATAAATTAGCGGCAAAGGTTCGCATCTACTGCTTCATTTTAACTATGCCCGCCTCAAGGGAAAAGAAGGCCGTCCACGTGAAAGCGACCTGGGCTAGGCATTTCGATAAGTTCGCCTTTATCAGCAGTGAGGACGACCCGGATTTCCCTGTGCTGAGTGAGTTTTTTACCTTTTTGTCTCCTTAATATTTGTACTCTGCCGTCTTTAGGCTTGAAAAATGTTACTTTTGAGTCTGCAACTAAGCACTGAGTTGTGAAACATGTAAATGTCATTTACTTACCTGATCAAACACTAACCTCAATCCCTCCAAGCTACGATAAAGCTATCCAGTTATTCTGTGATATAGGAATGCTTCACGTTACTTTTAAATTCAGTGTCTTTGTGACAGTAGGTTGTAGATAAGCCTTATAGGCAGTCGAGCAGCCTCCAATGGTAGAGGTTCAGGAAATTGGGTACCAAAAAAGAAAATCGAGACAGCGTTGGCCATGTCTGGCTTAGTAACCGTCTACAAACAGACGTATACAACAACAATTTTGGGTAACAAGAGAGTAGAGAAGAGTCCAGTCGAATGTCTTCCCTGAGTTTACTTTCTTAGACGATTTGAATACCCACTTTAACCGTTTAATATGGACAGGAGGAAGCTGTAGATCCTGAAACATACCTTTTAGCCAGCTTTAAAGAGATATCTTCACAATGTTAAGGCATCGACTTTTGAGATAGAGGCACTGAAGTTGTTAGAAGCCACACAAGCTCAGGTACAGAATAGCAAGAGAAAGGTTTAGACAGACACAGGAGGGGCTTCACCAACTGGAGCAGGTTGGCAGTCGGACGCGTGACCTTTGTCTGATTCCTCGGAGCCCAGACCTCAGTGTCCTGAGTAAAGGGCATGTCTGCGGCGGCCTTGAGATTGTTTAGCCGGTTTCGATTGGCCGAACTCCCTACAGGCACTCTCGGTGTTAGGGATTAAGTAAATGGTCCCCCATCCAGGACAAAATAAAATGCCCCGGCCGCAATACAGGTGTTCTTGCGCCAAATACTGAAAAATAAGGGTAAAGATTACAGTTAGCGTTAACTATAGGGTTTAGTTCGGAGTGACATTAGGCTTATCGTTAGCGTTATGTGAAGTGTTAAGGTAGGCGAAGTGTTAGTTATGGATCTATGGTTTATGGAAGGATAAGCCCACGATTGGACTGCGATTTAGGTTTTTATAAGGGCTAATATAAGGGTCAGGTCACGGGAATAGTTACCCTTCCTGGAATTATTCACAGGATCACATATTTTACGTGAGCGGAGCTTTCCTGTCGCCGGATCCAGTGTATGGGGTCATATAATCAGTGCCTACCGTGTTGGTTTCCGGGTAGGTCCGCGGCAATGACTGCTGCTGTCGTCTACGTGCAAGCTCTCGCCGAACAAAGGCATTTATTCAATAGACTTGATGACGGGGGGGGTCATTTCATTATTTTAAGTTGTCCAGTCAGTTAATTGGACCCCGCCCCTCCGCGGCTTGAACTGCCAGCAATGCCTAACGATGCTTCAATGGATTAATACTATTTCGG